GTCTTACTCTGGGAATTCAAGTCTCGTAGCTTCTGGAGTGATCTGTGGACCCTACCATGCTCTCCCACACAGCCACAGCAGGAGAGTTGTGCACATTATTAACCTTGGGTCAACTTTTGTTCATTTTGTCTGTTTCTATACAGGAAGTGGGTCCTTAATTGCCTTATTGGCAATCAATAACCTCTCGTCAGACTCCGGTCCTGGCGAGCTGACCAGAGATCAGAGCTATTTGGAAAGCCGTTTCATACTGTCAGTCGTACTCCTGGGATCTAAGGCAGGACACCCCCCTCACAGACACACACATACATACACACTCCCCCCACACAATGTTGGAATTCAGCAATGCACAATGTGGTTACAGAAATAACAACAGCACTTTCAGTATACAGGGCCCCAAAGGCATGTGAGTGACTGTGTCTCTTCATGAAGCATTCTGACAATCTCTAAGAACATTGTGAAAATCACCAGGATGATAATGTGGGCAATCACAAAATACCAAGAGCAGGAACATGGGCAATATTAGAGGGCTAACAACATACTTTAAAAATACTGACTTAATCAATTTAGGACAAGTACCCTTCTCAAGCAGAACCAGGTAAGATCTGAATCAACACCCCTGTATAATGTCTGCAGTGCTAGATTGTACCTCTCCCATCCCCCCCCAGAGTGTTGGGTTTATAACCCGGTCCTGTCCAGTCATCTTTAATGCCGAACCCCCTGCGGACAAGCTTATTTACAACATGACAGAGCAACTTTACAGCTGCAAAAACATACTGTCCACCTGTTTGATGCTTGCAGTGATTCTCCATGGCAGGGCTGGGCTGGCCATCTGGCATACTGGGCAAAAATTCATTGTGGGAGAAATCCCCCTCCCCCCTCCAATCAGCAATTTTATCATTGGTATGTATGAGCGGTGGGCCTGCATGCGATAAAGTCCAGCTCTGCACCGTGGGGACCCCATATGGACCAATGAGGTGAGCTTCAGTCCCAAGCAATGAAAATATTAAAAGAGACAGAAGGCTTTAAGGCCCTTGAAATGTGACATTTCATGATAACAGCACAAGAAGGAGTGAGATGACATGGACAAGGGCAGAGATACTCCCACCAACATCTGAGGTGCCACAGCGTGATCCTGCTTGAGGACAAGGTCCCGCATGCTTTTAATACGATACGTGTGTTTTGTGGCTGGGGAAAAAATTAAGAGACCACGATTTTTTGTTTCACTCAGTTCTCAATTTATGGGTCTGCGTCTGTGAATATATATATATACTCTGATTCATGAGAAACTGTCATCTCTGCATTAGAAAGTCACTTCCGCCTTTTACCTGGCAGGTTTCTGGTTGTTTTCAGTTTCTCCTGCTTCGTCTTATTCTTGTGTACTGTTTGAAATTTTGAACCTGGAAGCAACCTGCTGCTCAGCGCGGCCTCCTGACAGCAGAGCCAGGATCAAACCAGGATTAATACAGATCTGTTTAAAAAGTGGTCACTTAATTTTTTTCCACGGCCGTATTTCTGTTTATCGGGGTAATATGCGGGGGTGCTGGCCCAGTCCAGAGGGAGAGGAAGTCGACGGAGCAGGAGGAGGACACGGAGAACGCACAAACACAGGGCAGAGGCGAGAGTCAAGCCCCCCCAGCCTGGAGGTGAGAGGGAACACTGTTACCCACTGAGCCACCAAAACAGTCCTTGATTGGATTAGCCGTTAATATGAGGCCACAATATGAGGCCAAGTCTTAAGAAAGAAGAAAAAACAATATCAATGTGTAAGAATGCTGTAAGGTAAACAGGGATTTGTTGATTCCTCTGCAAAGGCCGCAGTGAGGCACAAACTGTCCGCGTGTGGCTGAAGCTGATTGGTGGTGAGGCTTGTCCTTCAGAGGAGAGCCCCACCCCCTCTCCAGGCACATAGCCCCTGTTCCTGTAAGGCTGGGTCACAAGCAGAACCACAAGCGAGTCTGGCTGACCGTCTCACAGGTTCTGAGGCAGTGATGCAGGAATTTCATAGAACCACTGTTTGCTTTTTAGTTCCGTTTTAGCTCCTGGTTGATCCTACCATAGGGCCTTAAGCCCTTCACCTCCTGGTGGGTTGAGACCTGATCGGACCCTGATCCCCTTGTCTGGCTAAGCAAAAACTGAACTGCGTTTCAGCACTCGCTCCTTCTCCAGATGAGGTGAGGGGGCATGTTGGAAGGCAGTGGGGGCCAGGGCTGGTGCAAGCTCCCATATATGCTGAAGAAATGGGGAAATGTTTCGGGGAACAGAACTGTAAGGTCAGTGGTCATGTCTGTAGACTGTCACACTCAAGACAGCCGTGGTGGGGAAATGACATTCTTCACAAAGTTCCCATAATTCCACACCAGGAATGCACAGGTGATAATGTGGTTGTGTGTTTTTTAACAGGCCGGTGATTCTTCAAAAGCACTGAATTAATCTGGCCTCCTTTTCTTCTGCAGCCTTAAGTCTTCCTGTTGAGTTGAGGCATTAGATACAGGCTGAAAGTAATCAGTGTGGAGCTGAGATGTGACAATGCCCAGTAAAAGGTCCAGTATGGGTGACTCCATTACTTGGCTGGAATGAGTCGACACCCCTTGTGGTACCAAAATGTATCAGTGTTTACAGAATTCAACATGGCTGAGAGCAGACGTTTCAACACAATCATTTTTTAATCGGCCAAACCCGCATGCGAACTCTGAAAGAAGACCAGGGCTGACAAAACACTGTTTATACGTTCCTTCTGCCGTTTGCACGTAAACAAACTCTCTTTGTTGAGCAAAATACTGATCTCTCACCGACCCAAGTTGATCCAGACTCCAAACTTGCTCCAGCATCTTCTCTCTACGACACGGGTGTCAAACTCCAGTCCTGGGGGGGCCGGAGCCCTGCACATTTTTGGGTTTCCCCTCATTTAACACACCTGATTCAATTACCATGTCGCTTATGAGCTGAATCATTTGTGGTAGAACAGGGAAAGAGCTAAGCTACACAGGGCTCCGGCCCCCCAGGACTGCAGTTTGACACCCCTGCTCTACGACATCACACGCCTCACACTGGTATTACTATGAACCCAGTGCAAGATACTGTACATTCAAATAATCCGCCTCTATTGAAAAACGGCTGTTCAGATATATGAAAATGAAGATACGAAAAATCATATTTTACCGATTTCTTATCATAGTCGTTCACTTGAGTAAATTCCTCTTTACTGTCATCAGAGACGTTGCCTGGCCTACTGTTACTTACGATACTGTATTACATTGAATCATACATTTTCAGATAAGTACTCTGCCACGGACTGAAACCACAACTGCTCGTGCCAAAACGACACCCTAACCACAGAACAATAAAACACCCCTTGCTTCTCTGATATTGGTTTTGGTTTTAACTTAAACTTTTTGATCATATACACACACGTTACAACATTTCTCTCTGCTGCTGATCTTTCAGCATGTATTTATTTGAAAACCATTTATTGCATTATCATATATATATTTTTTTAAGATGCTATCTGGTCAAGGCGAGACTTACACAGGGGCTAACCTAGGCTGTATCCCAGGGCCCCGAGTCGTAGGGCCCCCCAGCATTTTACAGTGTATGTAGGGGCCCAACAATGCCTTTAGCCCAGGGGCCCCCACCCTGCTAAACTAAACTGTGCATCTGGTATTTTCTAAAGCTTTTTAAATTCTCATAATCTCAAAATCATCACAAGTGACAGATTTTGTAGATACCTAAGTCAGTGGGTTACTGTTAAGTTCAGCTTTTAATTCTATGATATATATTTTTAATGTTCTATAATACTGACTGCTTATTTCTCATATGATCGTACACATTAAAGGGACTTATGGGCATATCTGCATTAGAACATAGAAGCACAGAGACCTTGCTGAGAGAAGTCAGTGTTCATTTGCCTTAAAGCAATTAGGTTCAAAGCCACAACTGACAAAACCGCCTGGTTTTAAACAAGCGATCGGTTATATGCGTGAAAAGAGATCCAGCATTTTTTATTGTTTTGTGGTGGAAGTTTTTTTTAGCCATTGCATAAACATAGCCATATTACGTATATTCATCCTGGAACCGTTGCCTGTATGTAATCTGCTCCCAACAGCAAGACGTCATCCACGTTCGCATAAAACACGTGAAGCTTAATGTCAGTAAAAACTACTTTTCGCAAACATTTACAGATACACAGTCAATCATTAAAAACTCATTAAAACAATCGTAATTTTCAGCATGTTGCGGGCTACAACTTAAACACGCGTGGACGAGCGCGGGTTACGACACCATACCGCCTGGCTGCGACTAAAAAATCACAGAAATGCTCTTCCCAGCCTCTGCCTATTTCCGACACTGTTACCTGGACAATATCCGTTCCTTCTAGTAAAATAAATGAACGTTTACCTAATATTCCATGCAATAAAAAGAGTATTTGCAGAGCTATCCCGATCATCTACATGATAAGCCTGTGTGAATTGCAGTGTATACAGGGTATGTGAAAGTCGCTACATTGGCTGGAAATGATCGATTTAACTCAACGGTGACACTTGAAGGCTGTCTGACTGAACCTGTTCAGTGTTAAAAGTCATACCTTCCACCTCTCTCGGAAGCAGGTTGCAGCGATATTGCAAACTTGCTTTTATGACTCCTACCAAAGTCAATGAAACCCTGAAAAGCGCAAATCACATATGGCCAGTATTATATAATAATATAATTTATAATATAATTTAATATAATTTAAGTTTGTACTCACATCAGCTGTAGCCCGGTGTAGGTTAGTGAAGACCATGAAAAATAAGACGATATGTGACGGCATTGTAATTTAAGAAAGTCTTTTAAGATAGCTCTCCTAACGGGATAGTCCGTCGCTTCTTATTTTATCTGCCTGTTTTGTATTATCGAAGTTTATGGACCGCAATTGACTTCATCTTTGCTTGGCTTTGATACCGCTGTGAGTTTTTGCCCAAAGAAACTTCTTGTTCTTCTTTGCACCCCACCCCTCGTGTTAGACATGACCACCCCCGTACACGTCTTTCTCTAAGAAACCACCACTTGCATTTCTTGCTTCTTAGCACAAAGTTTCGTCCTCATCTTTTTAGTGGTCGTTGTAGGTATATTTTGTAATTTCTCCACGACGCGGGATTCTTTCTCTCGGGATAGATACTGTTTCTTGCCCAAAGGTGGGTGCCTTACAGTCCAGAAGGGAAGTTCAGCTGGATGCGAGGGAACAGGCAGTTCTGACTGTCGCTGTAAGTGTTTTCTGCTTACAATGTTATAAAACGTAATTGCATTTATATATATTTTTATCTGTTCCCTGGGCGCACATTCTTATAATTCCAGTAGCTCCCGAATAATTCGCGCGGAAATAGCAAGCGTTTTATTAGATGGTGTAAAAGCTGAAATGCATTTTCCACAATAATCAGTTTTGCAGTGGAATGGTTTATATATGAAGAGTTATGAACTTTTGTCAAAAAAAAAATCCCAGGTCAAGATGCACTAGCTGTTGGAAAAAACTGAGGAAATAATCCGAATGAACTCTGAAGTGCGGGTGCGCGGAATGATGCGGGTTCATCGCCGAAAAGAATTAAACACATGGCAAGTACACCATTCACTCGCATTCAGATGTATAGAATAAGTTTTGTATACGCTCAGTCTATTAATATCTCGTTCATACTTTTATTTATTTGTTTACAGGTGTATTATACTGTGTTCGACAGTATTCTTTCTTCTGACGTCTGAGGTGGAAGCAGTAAGTTGTTTTTAAGCTCATTGAACCTTTTTATTTTTTTTAATGTATTCGTTTTACCGACGATGGAACAAATCCTTATATTGCAAACTTGCATTATTGTCCATATGTCGAAATATGCGCAATAGATGGTCCGAAGTTTAGACTGAAACTGCGCAGAAATAGAGGACACGCGCGTTACGCTTATCAGTGGGAGTGCACACGCGCACGGCGGCGCGGCGCTGGCGTCAGGCTTGACCCGGCGGAGGTCGGTTCTGTGCCGCCCGACAAGGGTTCTCTATTTATTTGCCGTATAGAAAAAACGAATCTGTCATCATACTGCAGAAACAGTTTTATTTAGTAAATATAATGCATAATTTTAAATATTAACTTTCTATCTTTCACAGATGTTTTGAGATACAAGTGATTTTATTCCCACATATAGAGTGAAAGCTTATTTATTTTATAAAGCTACGCTGATGAGGTTGGAAACAGCCGGACCATGTAGCCTGCAACTCACAGCTAACAATGCCAAGTGGTCCAGCTTTGAGTGGAGGCCAGCTGGGAGAAAAAGTGATTTTATTCACAGCTGGAAGGTCATGATAGAATCAAACTTCCTTCTTCCATGTGAAAATCACCAGTGTCAACATAAAACCACATGTACTTGGTGTTTGTTTAACCCTATAGCCACAGTTGTCACTGGCAAAATTGTATTTTTCGATGCTTTTGTCAGATTTCCTCAGATGTTTTTCTTTGTGTGTGTGCGGCCGGTGGGGACACAGTAAGTCAGCACAATGCATCGCAAGTTAAAAGGTACTTTGTGGGACTCAGAGTGAAGACAAGCCTGAGGCGTGTTAGTCTCACCACATTTCCTTCCGGGGGAAAAAATATCGGGCCTCCCTAGTTGATACATCTGGAGAACAGTTCCCCCCGGAGTGGTTCCATGGCCTGATAAGACCATCCAGTGTGTGGAGCCAGTGAAAGGCCAGTTGAACCATAGTTATGTACCAGAGCTCCTGTTTCTCTTTCTGTAAACCTAGTCCTCACATCCTGTCTCATATCCTGTGCTGTCCTTAGTATTCCATGTCTGGAGCTATGCATGCGGACGTCCCCAATGGTCCGACTGCATGAAACACTGTTAGGAAGTTGGAGTTCTTGTGCAATTCTGGAAAGTCGTTTTCAGTTCCGTAACTTAAACTGGATATATAATTGAACGCTGCCAACTTACTTATATCACCTAACACCTTCAGGGTATTCTGATGTTCTGATGTGGTCGCAATTCCAGTACAGTCATTGGGCCCCCAGAAAACGATTAAGAAACATAATCAGTAATACAGTCACGTTATTACTATAATTAATTCATCATACTTTGTGTGGTATGATGAGAAAAAAAACATCACTGCTGTCCTTGGGGTAAGTGTAGTGTCTCTCCTTGACTTATTTGTGTAGGCCACATATTCCACAGCCTTCTTCAGGGACTATGTGGCTTGGGAGGGGTGGGGGTTCCTGTCAACAGGAAGTCGAGCAGAGGTCTTGGGAGTTTTATTTGGTCTTGGTGTGGGAATGCACTTCAAGATGTCTTTTATCATAGATAGATGTTGGCAGAGTCTATATTTCGAAGCAAAGGGCATGGAAATCCAAAGAGTGTGTGGATGCTGTGCTATGATTGCAGCCCTCGGGTTTGACTGGACTGAAGACAGCACCCACATGGCGTGCGTGATCGTGCGTGAGAGGAGATCCGAGAAAAGAAAAACATTTTGGCTCGTCTTTGAGAAGGATGAGGAAGAGCTGTAGCTGCTTCCACACGAGCATCTCAGCAAACCTCTAGGGGCGTCCGCAGGAAGAATGGGGCAGGGCTCATCGCTGTCGCCACCCCCTGGCCCACGACCACATCACGGTGTCAGCTGGCCTGTCCTTATACCAAGGGCAGCTGGTAGCTGAAGGCTGGAGCATTGATGTATGGTAGCGTATGTGAGAGGATCTCCCTGAGCTACAGCTTTGTGTCTTACATTAGAAGCAGGAAGTTGGACCTGCCTCCCCGCCATAGTCTACAGCTAGCAGGCCCAACAATTAGTGGAAAGAGTCTATTGTGTTCGCCTTGCTTAGGGAAGCAGGGTAGTTCCGATAACGAGTTTCTGTGCATTGTGGGTAAAATCGTGGTCCAGAGGTCACACGTTTGTCTCCCTGGCAAGCAGACTGAACCGTGGAACCAGGCCAGCCCTGTAGCATCTGTTTGCTTTAGCAGTGTTTCACAAAGGGACTGTCCATATGGAGAGGTGGACGAATCCATCAGCAGCTGATGCTGGTTCATGGATTCTCCGAGGAGCTGATGGCATAGCATTAGAGAGAGTGTAGATGGTGTAGACAGTGGCTTTTCTGTATGGTGGAGTAGGTGGGGCCTTTTCAATAGAGCATTTGATCTTGCAGATAGAGACCCTCATGCTTCAGTTCTCTTCCACGCTGCCATGCTCAGATTAGTTATCGTCAGCTACCGTGGCGTATGCCCGGGCATGCGGGCCCAGTCCACACCGTGTGCTTGCAGTCCCATGTTCACTATTTCACGGCTAACTTCCCTATCTTCACCATTTCGAGGGCCTCATTGTCCCTCTTTCATGTAGTCAGGGTCAGTTGTCTTCATCCTGGCCTTGACTGTCAGATCCAAATGTACAGGCCTTCCGTTAACTGACCTCAGATCATCTTCACAATACTAAACATTTAGAAGGACAGGGGCATGGGTAGGCATATGTTATTTTACTTAGTATCTCTTATTATGATTGCCTTTAACCTCTTAGTAAAAGGGACCCAAGAAATGTACAATTCCAAGAAATGAGTGCTGCTTTGACCTTTTCCATTCTGGGAGCTGCATTGCTCGTCAGCCAAACCTTCTTCCCTCCAAGTTCAAGTCTAATGTCAGATTATGTGTTAAAGTGTTATATCTGTTTGTCGCACGTAAAAAAAAAATCATTTCACTTCATTTTGATTTCGGTTTGAACTCACGCAGCTTTGTCCCGATGGGGTGGGGGGGGGGGGGCGCCCACCATCAAACACCACAGACAGACATAACAGTGAACGTTAAGTGTCAGCTTCTCCGGAGGGGGAGTGCTGTTTTAATGGCTTAGTGACAGTATTTGTCATTGAATAGCCCCTGATTAATGTCCTGTAGGACTCCGGGAACAGAGAGGAACCACTCCTTCATTTAGTTGTGTCCTCCTTCCTTTTATAGTCTGAATATGATTCCAGGCTCTGGGCTGCCGTTTGGCTGTTTAATCTCTGCTAGAGTTGTCACAGTCTTGGCATGGGGAAGGCATTTGGGAGTCGCGGGGGTGGGGGGGGGCAGTCTGCTGACTGAGGATTCCTACTTCACTGAGGATTTGTTCATTAGCTGCCTCGTCGCTTTCGTTTACCCACGAGCCGCTGAGGTGACAGCAGGCCCAAG